CCAACAGGAAAAAATTAGCAATTATGACATTTCCGGATTCAAAGAAGCTTTTAAACCAGAAATCCGAAGTCTTGAATCCTTGTTTATATATTGGAAAGTTTCTCCCCTTGCCTTTCTTCTCTTCCCCCTTCTTCTTCTACTTCCTTCTTCACATCATACCCCTCCCTTCCCATACACCCAACAGCGTACGTTCGTTTATTTATTTTTGAAAATAATAATATAGCGTCCATTTGTTTCTTTCTTAAATAAAGCGTTAAGAGGTCATTTGATAAAAATCGCCTGAGAATACCGTAAGGTTGAAACCAAGGTAGCGGATTCAAGTTATATATATATATATATATATATATATATATATATGCCAAAATTTTATACCAGCTCAGCCAGCAAGCAGATGGAATGGCGATTGAGTACGAACAGTTGGAAAAATTAATAAATTGATTTTTGTGAGTCACAACAGAAGTTGCTATTGTCTTGAGGGAATTATAGCCGAAGCTAAAACAATATGGTTTCGTATTAAAGAACCAAGTGGGATATGAACGAAACTTAATTGAAAATGAAAAAAAAAAAAAAAGAAAAGCTTTTATTAAAAAATAAAAGAAATTGCCGGTTTTCAAACGAAAAACAATCATTGCAAGAAATAAAAACGTCACCAGAAACGCGCGTTGTGGTTGTTTGAGTAGCGATTCTTTCTATAAATACTGAAATGCCAAGAGTTGTGTGGGGTGTTAACTGTTGGATAAGGGAAAAGAGGATTGTTCACTGACGGGGACGGGGAGAAGATGGAATGGCTTGAGGAAAGGAAAATCAAAATGGCGAAAAAAGAGTAAGAAAGAATCAATTCATAAACAAGTGTATTAGAAGAAGAGTAAAGTAAATGGAAGAAAGAAAGACTAAAAAATAAGAGTTAAGAAAGAAAGAAAGAAAGAAAGAAAGAAAGAAAGAAAGAAATGGGTGGAAGGAAGGAAGGAAGGAAGGAAGGAAGGAAGGAAGGAAGGAAAAGGATAGATGAAAAGAGTATAAGAAATAAAGACAGATGAACGGAGAATAAGAAAGAAAGAAAGAAAGAAAGAAAGAAAAAAAGAAAGAAAGAAAATGGGTGGAAAGGAAGGAAGGAAGGAAGGAAGGAAGGAAGGAAGGAAGGAAGGAAGGAAGGAAGGAGTAGATGAAAAGAAAGAAATAAAGACAGATGAACGGAGAATAAGAAAGAAAGAAAGAAAGAAAGAAAGAAAGAAAGAAAGAAAGAAAGAAATGGGTGGAAGGAAGGAAGGAAGGAAGGAAGGAAGGAAGGAAGGAAGGAAGGAAGGAAGGAAGGAAGGAGTAGATGAAAAGAGTATAAGAAATAAAGACAGATGAACGGAGAATAAGAAAGAAAGAAAGAAAGAAAGAAAGAAAGAAAGAAAGAAAAGAAAAAAGAAATGGTGGAAGGAAGGAAGAAAGGAAGGAAGGAAGGAAATGAAGGAAGGAAGGAAGGAGTAGATGAAAAAGTATAAGAAATAAAGACAGATGAACGGAGAATAAGAAAGAAAAGAAAGAAAGAAAGAAAGAAAGAAAGAAAAGAAAAGAAAGAAAGAAAAGAAATGGGTGGAAGGAAGAAGGAAGGAAGGAAGGAAGGAAGGAAGGAAGGAAGGAAGGAGTAGATGAAAAGAGTATAGGAAATAAAGACAGATGAACGGAGAATAAGAAAGAAAGAAAGAAAGAAAGAAAGAAAGAAAGAAAGAAAGAAAGAAAGAAAGAAATGGAAGGAAGGAAGAATGAAATGAGGGAATGAAAAGAGGATAAGAAATAAATACAAATAAAGAATAAGAAAGAAAAAAGAAAGAAATAGATGGATGGATGGATGGATGGATGGATGAATGGAAGAAAGAAAGAAAGAAAGAAAGAAAGAAAGAAAGAAATGGATAGAAGGAAGAAATGAAAAGAGGATAAGAAATAAATAAATATGAACAGAGAATAAGAAAGAAAGAAAGAAAGAAAGAATGAATGAATGAATGAATGAAATATACGAAGAAAATATATGTATGTATCCTAATAGTGAAAAAGCATTCATTTTACTACATAAGAAAGAACTATTTTTCAGCATAATACTCTTCCTTCCGTAGCACATGCTACATTTATTTTACTCAACAAATGCAGATTTTCAACATAATCTCCTTTCTTGTCGATGCACTTTCTATATTAGTGAATATTAGTTACATACAGCGAGCATTATACAGTGAACATTTCAGATCAAAATTAACTGTCAGACTTAACTGATCCACTATTGTAAGAAAGAAAGAAAATGAATGCATATGCGTTTATATTGCTAAGTCTGTAGCTTAATAAAAAAAAAAAAATATGAATTTTCCAACATCATCTCCTTCTCAGTCAATGCACTTAATTAAAATCATACGTAAACTGAATTACATAGAATGAACATTATGCTGTGGAAACTTCAGATCAAAGTTCAACTGATAATTATGTCAGGCTACGGAATTAGTGATCAACTCAAAATAGCTAGCTAGCTAGCTGGCTAGATAGATAGATAGATAGATAGATAGATAGATAGATAGATATGAGCAGACTGAGATAGATAGATAGATAGATAGATAGATAGATAGATAGATAGACAGATAGATAGATAGATAGATAGATAGATAATGAATAGAATAAAATAATATAGATAGATAAATATATAGATAGATAGATAATTAATAGAATCAGATAGATAATTAGTAGAATCAGATACATAGATAGATAGATAGATAGATAGATAGATAGATAGATAATGAATATAATAAAATAAGATAGATAGATAGATAGATAGATAATGAATAGAATAAAATAAGATAGATAGATAGATAGATAGATAGATAGATAGATAATGAATAGAATAAAATAAGATAGATAGATAGATAGATAGATAGATAGATATTAATGGAAGCATCAACATCGTCAAGATAAAGACAGAATGAAAAAGTAGTTTAATAAAGAAAAATATACAAAGAATGAAAGCAGAGAAAATGCTTGAAGCAAGGCAGATTAAGGATTGAAAAAAAAAGGCAGTCATGAACATCGGAAGAGACATGTGTGATGATAATGAGAACAAAATAAAAAAAATGCTACCCGTTTCGTTATCCTGGGCGCCTTTTAAGCATTATTTGTTCATTGTTATTTTGGTTCCTTTATTTCTGAAACGGCCAGCTGTATCATGTCGCCCTTTGAGCGCTGAAAGACGCCCAGTCGTTGTTCGATGCAAAAACGCCTCCCTTTCGACATTCCATATTGCTAACCAGTCGATGGTGTTCAGGCACGTGGCTCGTTTAGGATTTAAGAGAACGAAAAAAGACTTTCTTTTATTGTTTTCTTCTTCTTCTTCTTTTTTATTTTCTTCTTTCTTTTCTTTTTTTCTTTTTCTTTTCTTTTTTTTCTTTTCTTTTCTTTTCTTTATTGTTTTTCTTTATTTTTCTTTCGTTCTCTCTCTCCCCCCCTTCCCCACCTCTCTCTCCCTCTATCTCTCTCTCTCTCTCTCTCTCTAATTCTTGTTTTGCTTTCTTTAATTTCTTCTCCGTCTTTCTTGACATTTATAAGATAAGGGTTAGTACAACGAACGCAAGGCCAAATCGAGAACAAAAAAGAGTAGGCAAATGATGACGCAGTTAATCTTCAAAACAGGAACAGTCTAATTCCTTGAAAATCGACATTCAAGATCAAACACCGATTTCTGGATTAATTGATTTGTTCTTTTACAGTTTATCAACCCGTTGTGAGTTATTTAAAGACGAAACATATTTCGTATTATAGGAGCTTGCTTGGGCCCTTCGACGTGGTGTAATGGTTAGTAAGCTTGTCTCGCTAGAATAATTACGACTGAGTAGTGAGTTCGATCCTCACTGGGTGCTCCATACTTTCGGCCTTGTGCCACATCTGAGCTACGCTTGTAAATTCACTATAGGAGCTTGCTTACAATGGTACTTAGATGGGGGTACGTTTCGGCGTCGCTGATTCGGCGTCAGAAAATTATTGGACTATTCGGCTTATCAGCCCTTTGCAAATTATTTAAAGCCAGAAAACATTTTTACATTCGAAGAAAATTTTTGTTTTTGGCTTTTTCGGATAATACTGTTTTAATAATACAAATTTGTTTGTTTTAATAATACAAATATGTTTGTTTTTGTCTTTTTTAGATAATACTGTTTTAATAATACAAGTCTTACTAATTTGCACATAGCTAGGGGAGAAGGGGTGGATTTATATATTTATCAAGGGTATTTGCACCTAAGTGAATATATGGAACCCAACTGGAATTGGAACTCGGCACTCGAATTTAAAATTCCGAGCTATTATCCATTACACCACCCGCACATCCATGAGAAATAAAGAAATAAAGTTTTGCCCTTTTGTTCCCATCTTCCTTAAAACTTCCACGTTCTTCACCTGTTCCGTCCTTGGTATTCTCAGCATCCTTCTGTAGAACTATATCTGTTGCCTCACGTCTGTGAGTGAATTTTTCAGGATTCACTATAATATACAGCACTAGCACTTTGTGCTGTCTGTCTTGCTATCGACTATACATTCTTTATTTCTTCTTACAATTGACGGTTCGTCCTTTCTTCATACTTTCCGGTATTTACTCGCAGTTATCTCCCTTGTATCTCTTCTTTAATGAAAAGATTGTCATTCAGCTTTTAGTAAGAATGGCATTGGCAAGAGGCATCCGATTTCTGCTTGTTTTCTCCTGTTATTTTTCCTTCATTAATGCTTTTATTTGCTTGCGTTTTCTTCTTAAAATCCTTCTTTTTCTTCGCTTATCACCACCCCCTCCTATTAGTTCAAAACCTCTAAACATCACAGAGAAATCAGTCTTCTTTTTTATTTTCCACCTTAAATTTCTACTCCGCTTTGACTAACGCCTTTGAAATCTTTTTTCTTTTCTTTTTTCTTTTTTTTGTCTCTTTTTGTTTGTTTGTTTTCGTTCCTATTGTTTACGCGAGGTTTCTGAAAAGTTCACATCCAAACCAAGAATGATTTTTTCTGTACCCCTTTGTATATCTTTCTGCATTTATTTTATTTTATATTTCTTCTTCTTCTTCTTCTTCTTCTTCTTCTTCTTCTTCTTCTTCTTGTCCTCCTCTTCTTTCTTCTTCTTCTTCTTCTTCTTCTTCTTCTTCTTGTCCTCCTCCTCTTTCTTCTTCTTCTTCTTCTGGCCCTTCTTTTTCTTCTCCTCCTCCTCCTCTTTCTTCTTCTTCTTTTTCATCTTCTTCTTCTCGTCCTCCTCCTTCTTCTTCTGGCCCTTCTTTTTCTTCTCCTCCTCCTCTTTCTTCTTCTTCTTCTCGTCCTCCTCCTTTCTTCTTCTTCTTCTTCTTCTTCTTCTTCTTCTTCTTCTTCTCGTCCTCCTCCTCTTTCTTCTTCTTCTTCTTCTCGTCCTCCTCTTCTTCTTCTTCTTCTTCTTCTTCTTCTTCTTCTTCTTCTTGTCGCCTTTTCTATTTTGCCTTTCGACTTTTTTCTTTCTTATTTCTCATTTATTTCTTTTTGGTATATATCTTTCGTTCTTTCTTTCTTTTTTTCTTTTTTTCCACTGTTTCTTCCTTGTATCATTTTTATATTTTTCTTTATTTCATACTTATTTTTTTAATTTTCAAAAATATTTTTAATTTATCAGTTTTTATTCATTTCTTTTTCCATTTTTTTTCCTTCATTATTTCTTATTTTCATCTTTAGTTTTTTGTTTTTTTGGCTCTTTTCTTTTTCCTTTCTTTTTGTGTTTAATGATTTTCGTTATTTTACTTATTTTTCCGTTTCTTTTTTGCTATTCTTTTCTTTCGTTTTCTTTTCTATATTTTTCTTTATTTCTTTTTTTTATTTTTATTTTCTCTTTGGACACATTTCTTTCTTTTCCTTCTTTTCTTTCTTATTTATGCCCTTTTTCATTTATAATTTTTCTTATTTATTTTCTATTGTTTTCTTTTTCAATTTTTCTTCTCTTCTTTCTTTTTCCGTTTTGTAATATTTCATTCTTTTTTCTCCTATTTTCTTTCTTTTTCATTTCATATTCTTCTTTCTTCTCTTCTTTTTTTCATATTTTCTTTCTTTCTTTTAGACATTTCAGATAATCTGTCCTCCATCTTTGTTCTTTTCTTCAGATTGCAAATTTCTTTCACTTAATCATCCAAACATTTATTGTCTTCTAATTTCTTTGTTTCCTTCTTTATTTATTCATTTTTTTCTATTCTATTATTACTTTTTCTTTCATTTTATCTTTTCTTTTTTTTTCTTTCTTTTTTCTTTTTCTTTTATATTTTTTTTCTTTAATTCTATTTTTTATCTTTTTTCTTCCTTTTGTTATTTATTCCTATTCTTTTTCTTTTCTCTTCTTTCTTTTCCTTTTAGTCTGTTTTTTCTTTTTCTTTCCTTCTTTTCGTCGTTCTTTCTTTTTTTCTTTTCTATTCTTTTTTATTCTTTTCTATTCTATTCTTTCTTTCATTCATTCACTCTTTCTTTTCTTTCTTTTATATATATTTTTTTCATTTCCTTCCATTTTTCTTTCTTTCTTTTCCTTCCTTTCTTGGTGTTTCTTCCTTAATTTTTTTTTTTGCTTTTCTTGCTTATGTTATAATTCTTTTTTTCTATTTTCTTAATTTCTTTCTCTGCTCTACATTTTTTTCTCTCAACATCAGTTATGTCTTTTGTCATTGTTTTTCTTTCTTCTTCATTATTTTCGTTCTTTCTTTTCTATTATCACTCTCTCTCTCTCTCTCTCTCTCTCTCTCTCTCTCTCTTTGTTGCCCCTTTTCATTTGATTTTTATCATCCTTCTTTTTACTTCCTTTCCTTTTTAACGTCAATAACGAAAGCCTTTCTCCTTTCACCTTATTTGAAGGCGTTTTCTTTATTTTCATTGTTCTCGTCTTACCATTTTTACGTTTAGTTTCCTGTACCTCCCACTTCTCCTCTTCTTTTCCTTTGAAGTTTACCTTATTCCGTGTTATTACTACCTTAAACAACACCAACCGTATTTATCTTCTTTCACCATGAAGGCGTTGTCTGGAGGCCGGGAGTAAAGCATTTACACAAGAAACCGTTCGTATATCCCTATAAATATCTACGCACAGTCTTCACGTGTAAATATCCATCCGGTTTCCGGGCATTCTTGGCTGGAAAGCAATAACAACTCAAACTCTAGTAACTTAGGATAACTCTCACCATTGTACTAATACGGATAGGACCAAAAGTAAATCCTGATGTCTGCAGAAATGCCGTTTATTTTAATAAATAAATAAACGATTATTGGAAAAATACTTTCTATGACAAATAGTGGAGTAATGGATAGCGGCTAGGATTGAGAAATCGAAGAGCCGAGTTCGAATTCCAGTCGGATCAATTACATTCACTTACGTGCTAATACACTTGAGAAAGGCATGAATCCTCTTCTTCTCCCCCAGCTATGGGTAAATAGCAGGTGGCAACTAGTCTCAGAGAAGAAAAAACTCTAAATTCAAAACCGACCTGGAGAGGGTTGAACTCCGTCAGGTCATCCTACCCAAAAAACACCACCTCTACTGCGGCAAATTCAGTATAAGAGATAAGTTTATTAAACAAATAATAGGCAGCGCTAGGTGTAGTTTCGCCCACGACCGCAAGTTGCTACGTAACTAAAACATTAACCTAAAAATAGAGTCCTGTTCTTAAATAGCATCGTCAATTGGAAACTTTCATATGGATGCCGTGCATGGCGCCAAAAACTTTCAGTTTTGTATACTCAGATCGAAGATTAAAAAAGGGTTGCGAGCGAGGGAAACGTTTAAGTCTTACCTGGCGCTACAGAATCACAGACAAAGAACTGTAGCAGATAACAGAAACTGCATCACTTTGAACAGCAGTAACAACTACAACAGATAACACATGTACCTCGAAGAGAAATTAATGACATACTGAAGATGCTGATGTTCCACACAACTTCAAACAAAAGGTTAGGAAGGAAACTACCACCAATACTGGGAAATGCAATAACACGTACTGGACTTGAAAAAGTTCAAAAATTGTCTTAAGTGAAAGAGTCTATAAATGTCAAGCGAAAGCAATACTGGCTGCTCGGTCAGTGATTGTCGAATGTTTCCTTATAAAGAAAAGGGCTAATATTACCATTGCCAGGCCAGAAAGTGATCGATGTTAAAATGAAGTATAACAAGTACAACCCCATGCAATAATTCTGGCACGGGGAAAGGCTAGTATCAATCCCTGAGGCTTGTTGTGTCTCCAAAGTGGGGACAAAACAATTGTTATCCCTAGTCTCTTTTACGCGTGGGAATCTCATACTAAACTCGGATATATATATATATATATATAGCTATGTACATAATATTAGATATTAGTTGATAACACAATAATATTCACACATGCGCACAGTAAAAAGAACCTTCAGATATTGGAGGCCATCTACATTAAAACAAAGCAACCCACACTCAACAAAATTACATTTCAAACTAGTCACAACACATTACATTGCATCTAAACATATGGTTCTGTTGCTAATATTTCAGTCTATCGCGTAGTATGACGTCATAGAACCGCATCTTGAACTTATGTTTTGCGGCTGCTATTCTGCGACCGTTATCGTCGCATAGCAATTTTCTATGTCAAAATAGCAAAATATCAGCTTTGACAGTGGATATCTTTGTTTCATGTCTGTATAACCACTCTGAGGATGGCTCATGTAAACCGAAAGCTTAGGACTAATTTAATAAAAAAAATATCCAAATGTTGGACAATTTTTGTCTTTTTTTTTTACCAGAAATTAAAGCAAACATGCAAACATTAGAACGGCTCATGATCAGACATTCATTGTCTGTTATATTTAATATATATATATATATATATATATATATATATATATATATATATATATAATTATTTATTAAAAAAAAAAATTTATAACATAAATATGTTATAAAATCACTACAAAAATAGCCATTTTGTTTCAACACGCCTGGTGTCTTATCAAGTGATAAAATAAATAATTATATCTGCTCTACTTTGTATTGAGCACCCAAAAAGAATAGTAATTGTTGCTTATTGGAATTCATTCCGTATACACCAATTATATACTTGCATATATATATATATATATATATATATATATATATATATATATATATATATATATATCAAATACATTACAGCGATCAATGTCGCTGCCAATACTAATCAAGTTTCCTAACCTTTTCCACGGCCTGACGATTGTATGGCCGACTAGAAAAAAACGCGTATGCACATAAAACTTTAAGTCGCGGAAACAGCGAAATAGTTTTCATATTATATATATATATATATATCGCTACCTTCTACTTATGAACAAGACGAAAATATCCTAAAAAAAATAATAAATACTAATATATCCACCATAGATCCTAGTAAAAAAGTAAAATTAATTATGTACTACACTAAATCTAGTATTTCTAATGCAAGCATTTGTAATGACTCTTCCTATCTACTACCTTGTTGCAGAAAGCTAACATCGTTTATAAATTTAAATGTCCACTGGGAGATTGTATCTCCAACGGTAAAAGTAATATTTATGTTGGACACAACGTTGTCTCGGCTGCTAACTTTTCATTTGAATGATATGTCCAACATTTCCAAACATTTACAACAACATACCTGTCCACATTCACAATTCAGAAAAATTCTTGTCGGAAATACTTCTACACTTTTTCATGAAAAGAATAAACGTAAACTAAAATTCTCGAAGCTATCTATATTAAAAAATTGAAACCAAACCTAAAAAAAAATTAATTAAGAATACTCCACAAACGTTTTAAAATCTATACAATAATGAGTTCAAGGTTTGCACGAATAGCTTTTACTACATATTTCGTAAAAAAAACTCTCCACAACCATACTTAGTTACCTCCCTTATGTCGGTGTCAGCGATCACGCTGTGAACCAGCGTTCTTCACTGTACAAGTTAAAAATTTAACTTTCGGATGAACACAATAATTTTGTCTTCGAAAATAATGGACACTACAATATTTGTCTTGCAATAAACAATACCCTGATGATGAAATTGTGAAATGTCAAAAGTACTCAGAATGAAAGAAATATGTACCAGCATGGCGATTTTTAATCATCCTTCAATAACGACACCAAAAAGCTTGTCCGTAAATATTGAAGGTTCCAATTGAAAATAAGAAGACAGAACATGTGTAAATTATTCAACGAAACATGTTTTAACCAAAACACGCTCTCAAAATATACGCTTGTGAAATGAGCGGGATATTGAACTGGATACGAAAATTCGGGTTTACAGAGCTGTTGTACTTTTGTATGGCTCAAAGTCGTGGACTCCATACAGGTACCATATACGCCAGCTGGATGTTTTCTATAAAAGCTGTCTCCGTGCAATCTGTGGAGTTTACCTTCAATATAGGACATCTAATGTAGACCTGTTTAACAAGTGTAATATTAGAGGAATCGAGACTTTTCTCATACAGTCACAGTTACGGTGGACTGGTCATGTCTTGAGAATGTCTGATGACAGGATACCCAAGATCCTAATGTACAGCCAGTTAAATCAGGGCTACAGAAATGTAGGACGCCCATGGCTAAGATACAAAGACAAGCTGAAAAGCAACTTGTCAGCTGTCAATATACTACATAAAACACTTGAGCGCTTAGCCATGCAGCGGGTAGAATGGAGATCAACGTGTTTTAGTGGACTCAGCAGTTTTAAATCTGCTTGTCGGAATCATCTTCAAGAAACGAGAGCAAGAACTAAAAGGTCAGCCAATCTAACAGTGATCTCATCTCACAATCCTAACTCTTTCTCCATATGTGGCCTTTTTTGTAAATCACTAGCGGGTCTTAAATGCTACTTAAGATTATCGCACAAAATTACATAACTGAATCATCTAAGCTGTCACATCCTCATACTTCGAAACCGATGGGAGAATCCATTATATATATATATATATATATATATATATATATATATATAATTAATAATAATTAAAGATTATCAAATACTTAAAATTCCATAGGTAATAGATTTTATTTCATGAGAGCTGCTTTGATATTCTTTAATAATTTTGCTCTGCCTTTTGATATAGAGCTCTCTCTGGATCTATATCCTCCTAGAAATTCCATACGGATTACCATATTGTATTATTGCTACATATATATATATATATATATATATATATATATATATATATATATATATATATATATATTGTTACGTTAACGCCATATTTGTACCCTCACCTTAGATTTTATAAGTATATTTTCAGTACCTTGTGTATTTGCGACGAAACATATGAACTTCTTTATTTCTTGAATATGCAGATTGTGGGATATTTTTTTTTATACCCAGATGAGTCAGGGCCAGTTCTCGGAAAAGAACCTTCCCTTCTACCCCCATTTCCTACCTGGTCTCTGATGCGTAGGCCAAACAAACGCTGTTTGACAGATAGGTGCGAATGATGTTAACCAGGTCCATAGTCGTAAGCCAAACTAACGCTGTTTGACAGATAAGTGCGAATGATATTAACAGGGTCCGTGAATGACGCATACCTTTTTGGGGGGCCAACACGTGACTCAACATATAGCAGTTTTCGTTTCGCACGTGTTGAGATGACAACGATCTCACATAGTTGCTGGGTATCGGAGGAATCGGACGTCACCAAAACCAGTCTTAGCTGTTTGCCATTAGAAAAAGCAGTTGTCACCAAAACCAGACTTCGTTGTTTGATGCCAGAAGAATTAGATGCCACCAAAAACCAAAGGACCGACGAGAGAATCTAGAACAACATCGTGAACCCAAGTCGGCTATACCCCCGCGATTTTTTTGTGTGTTCTCCTCGCCATCAACACAGATTGGACGTCGCCAGTCAAGAACTCATATTAGAACATTGTCAATCCCATCTTTTACTTTCAGATAAGTGTATGAATATCCTTTTGATCAAACTGTACCCCGATAATAATCAATCGACGTCGATTCCAAACTTATGTAAGTTTCTGCATGTTTTTTTCCATATCTTATAGTCTACTATCTCTGTATTTATAT